CAGTTGACATTGGATGTATCCCGGACTTTTACAAATAATTTGATATCCAGAAATAAAATCAATTGTTACCATACCTGCATCCTCTTCATGTCGTTAATAGTAATTCAAATCGGTTCATGCAATATCATGAATTCAACACTTTATTATCAACGGAATGCATGGGCTGAGTGACGATAGTGATTCAACTGAATTTAAACTGCAACTGCATTGAAAACAGCACTGGCATGCGGAGAAGGAACAATAAACTATAAAACATAGGGAGAATAAAGTAACAACATCCCCAGTGCAACTCACCCATGCGTTTCTCCACTACAAAACAGAAAACAATGCATGCAGGATGCTTTATTGCGTTGCTTAAGAAGCGTTGAAGAAAACTAGGCCAGCCATGTCATAGTAAGCAAAGGTAGTAGTTTCGTACCCCGCAAAAGTGTTAATGTATTCAGAACCAAGGGTGTATCAGTAATAAAGCCTTTTAAACTATCATTGTGTTTGGAAATAATTTATCTTAATTGTGAGACCTCCAGTTTAGACGTAAAAAGCATAACAAGCCCAATCCACTTACAGGAGCTATTCTAAGATATATTCCCATTTGCAAACTGTTAAAAAGAAAACCATTTATACAATCTCCTTACATTTCCATTTTATCGGATTCGGACAAATCCCATCTTCAATATTAGCTCTCTACTATCCGGCTTGTTGCTTTGTCCACATAAGTGCAAATAAAGACTTCTCTAGGTCCTAACTAGGCTGCATACAACTAATACTATCTGTTAGTTGTCATTCCACAGAGGACGAGTTAGGTATATTCATCCCACTCCATGCCAGGTAAGTGGGAGCAACAGGAAAGGTGTCAGAAATGAATAGTTTTTCTCCTAGTGCCTGCAAAATGTGTGATGGAACACTTCACCATTTCGGTACAACTACTTTGTTAATTTGACCTCTTACCTTTTCCACCCCCAAGATAACACGGTTTATACCGCTAACTAAAGTACATTAGACTAAGGCCATCCAATGCTACTTCTCCAGAAGTCATCGCATAGGCGGTGTTTCCAACAAGACAACTATAAAAATACTTACGTTATCAATGGAGGCGGATC